CCCCCCCCCCCCCCCCCCCCCAATGTAAACAAACCACCACCTTCGTCCCGTCCCACCTCCCCCGACTGAACTTACTCGAGCTACTAGTACGCTGGAGAAGGGGAGTATCGAGGCGCGCGACAGGGTGCGTGGGCGTGTGGGTGTGTGGGCTGCGTGGGCGTACTGTACAGTACCTATGCATGCATGCTCTGGACAAAGAGCTATCCACACGTTGCGATGGGGGTCGGTTCCGTTCGTTTCGTTTTGCTGTCACCCACCCACGCCGGGCGGTCCAAGGTGGGAATGGTTGGCTGGCTGGCTGGCTGGGGCCCCTCCCAGGAAGGGGCGGACGGACGGAGCACGACAGGAGTCGACGCTTGGTTCAAGCTTCGGTCCAGAGCTTCAACCGGCCCGGCTGAGTCTGGTTGGCATTGGCAGTTTTCTGGCATATCACACAACCTGCGCCGAGCCTTTGTGCCACTTTTTGACACATCACTTTGTTTTGCGCCGCCCTGGGGGGCGCGGGCGCCGTGTGCGTCGACGAGTTGGGTTCTCTGCCTTTAGCCCACACAGCCTGTTCTCCCTCTTGCCTTGCGCTGCAGCGGACACAGCCAGTATCGAACCACGCACACACACACAACCCCACAGACTGCCAGGCATGTCTGGCGAGAGCGAGAAAAAAAAAAAAAAAAAAAAAAGAGAATGATCTCGCGGCCATGCGACTCGAGGGCGTGATACGGGTCGCAGCCAGAGGGACCTGCCTGGCACACTGCGCTCGCTCGCTGCCACCCCCTCGGAGCCGTGATTCCCTCAGTCACCTGCATCAGCCAGGCACGTCTCTGCATGCCGCCCACAAGGAAGCCCCAGGGCAGCAAATAGGAAATGTGAGAAAATGGGCGTGCCAAGGCGCCTCTGTTGGTGCCGTGCTACCCTTGCAGCAATGGTGAGGCCACAGCTGTAGGTGGTACTGCTGTGCTGTTGCGCTGTGGGTGCTGCGCTGGGAGGCGCCCGGGTCGCGCGCCTGTTGGGGGAGCCGGGAGGGCGCTGGTGCGGTGTGCCTGCAGTGCCTGCAGTTGTCTGTTTTCTAGGTGGTGTGCTGGTGTGCGCTGGTGAGCTCAGTTTGGCCAGGTTTGACGATTTGGGCACTGTGTTGCATCGCACCGCCGCCGCCATTGGACATGGTGTGCTTGATTGTAAAAGTCGTGCAGTAGACTAGTGCTCGAATTTCGGTAGCGCGACCCAGCGAGCCCTTTTCCGACTGGAGGCAGGAGGGACACCCATGGGAGCTCCTTCCAAGGTAATGTTCCGGCTCGCCAGCCCCACCATGCCGCGTTGCAGACCGTGAAACTGCGCGAATGGCGGCCTGCCGTGTGCGGCACTGTGCTATGTGCTGTGCTGGACCGCCGCAGGCAGGAGGACCCCCGAACAAATGGCATTTCTGCAACCAGACATAGAAAGATGTCGGCCAGCAAACCTGGCTCGCCTGGGAGCTTCCCTATTGAGGAGGCAGGTGCACACAGCCTACTGACACCGCATACCTGCCTCCTGGCTCGTGCCTGGCTCGTGCCTGGCTCGTGTCTGGCTCGTGTCTGGCCCGTGCCTGGCTCTGCTGGCCCTGGAGAACGAGGCCAGACGGCAAACCGTAAAGACTCGTCGTGCTTGCCCGTCGGCCTTTTCTTCCTCCGTCTCAATCTGCTATTGCTGTCATTTTCTTGGCTTTCTCCTGCCCCTTGCTTCCTCCATGTTCTTTTTTCTTTTCCCGTCTTTACTCCTTAGCTCGGCCTCGCCCGCCTGCCCAACAACCTCCTCCTCCCAGGGCTCAGACCCCGGCACGGTCAATGGAATTGCACTTGCATGTCACATGCAGCAACAACCATGGCTTGTTGTCCAGCGTATGTGTGTCTGCTGCAAGCCTTTCGAGGGAGAAAAAAAAGCAACGTGTCTGCCTTAGCTTAGGCCTGAGCTGAGCACTGCCTGCCTGCTTGTTTTGTCCGTCCATGGGGCAGCCATTTGCTCACTCCTGATGTCAGCAGCAGGCAGCGGCCAGCCCCCCGTTCCGTCATCCTTCCACCGAGGCGGGCAGTATCGGGGCGCTGGTTCCTTGATAGAAAGCCTGACAGCACGCAAAATGACCTCATATCGGCGGTCAACGCTCCCTGGAGACGAGGGAGTCTGTGCCGGCTGTTGACAGTCCGCTGCGACGCCTCTGTTGCAGGAATTGGCCCGCCTTGACCTCATTATGGTCTGAGACTGTCGTTGTTCATAAGGGCGACGTCGCTGTCACCTCTTGCCGCCTTCTGCCCCCCAAATGCTCTATCCCTCTCATCCTATAAAGGACAGGCGAGCTCTGCGAGTCGACCTGGGCCTCGCTAGGGGCCCTATGCTGGGCCATCGACGACGCCGTTGACGTATGCTTGACGGCGACAATACGCATGCCCTTTCCTCGCCTCCTCTCGAGATGCTGAGGACAGCCGACGCACCTATCCGCTGAGTGGCCGTTCCGTTCGACCCAATGGCTTGGGTGTGGCGAAACACCACCAACGACCCATAATGCCACCTGCCCCTTCCCACGGGCTCATTTCCACCACCCTACTTCTACCAACCTGCCATCAGGGAACGCCGGGACATGGCCGCTTCCCGTTTCTCCACGGCGGCGTGTTTCAACACCCCATCTGCATCCCCTGGCTTCGGGGCGCACAAGCAAACGGTGGCCGGCTTTCCTTCTTGGGCCGGCCTTCTCGTGCCGCTCGGGCTTCGTGGTGTTCAAGGGACACAAGTTTGCGCACGTGGCGATTCTCTCCTCTTCCAGACAGGCCGATCCCACCCTGGGCGGAGGCTCGACTGCCCAGGATCGTCGACCCTTGCCGAAGGACACGTCCTAGTGGACGGTGAGGCCTAGCAGAGTTGCCGGCCCAAGACGAGGCCCAGCTTCGTTGGTCGGGTCTTTTTGGCCGCATGCACGTCCTCCCGTCTCCTGACCAACAAGAAGTGTCAACCACCCCATTCCCAAAGAAATAGGAAGCTGTCGGATGATGATCTGGGGGATCTGGAAGCGTCCAGAAAGGTCATGAGGCCCAATTTGCTCTCAGCCACCCGCCTAGTCGCCACCTCGCTAACAGGTCGGAGAGTCGAGAAGTGGAAGAATAACAGAAAGCAAGAGGTGTGAGGCAGTAGGATGCAGCCACTCGCCAGACGCCCAAATCAGCGTCCGTCCGGCAGCCAGCCCACATCCCCTGAACCTCCACCTCGGTTACAGAATGTCTTGAGAGAGGGCCATGGAACGAGAGCATTGGCCGGCGCCGTTAATGTATCATAATACACCCAAGATACCTCCTCGTTACATGTCCAAGAAGTCGCATTTTTGTCTCCATCTCCATCTCTCAGTACACGCCCCCTACTGCGAGACTTGGTGGATGGGACCTTCCTGTCCAGGCATTCCGAGGCCCTCGAGTGCAAGTGGCAAATCCTGCGGCCGAGACTGGGAATGCGAAGACCCAAAAGGTATTCGTTTCCATGGACGGAAAGATTGGAGCCGCTTGAGACTCGGAAGAGCCTGCCAGCCGCTGCTTTTTTTTGTTTCACCAAGCTATCGAGCGCGCCTTTCCCAGCCATCTCTCTAAATGACAGCTAAATGTGAGCTGTCCTACGTACAATGGCGTGTAGAAGAAGGACGCTACAGGTAGAGTAATTTAGCACGCTTGGAGTAGCCGTCATCTCCAGCTGCCAAGGATCCTGGTCCGGTGTCAGAGAATCTCGCGGAAACGAAAGGAGGTGACCAAAGAGGTGCCCAGATATGCGTAGAGACCCGAGTGGGTGCTCTCGGAGGGGCTTACAGACCAACGGCTCCTGCAACTGAGGCCGGGGTGGCACCGCCGGTGACCATCACATGACAAATGAAATGCCGAGAGAAACCCAGCGCCAACGATAGGCACAGAAGGGAGAGGGGTGATGAAAGATACTAGTGTCTATTGGTATTTCAGGTATTTTAACGTGGAAGGGACCATCCCTCAGCTATTTCCCCTATCTCATCTTTTTGGGTCGTCGCTTTTCTTCAGTTGCTTTTCGGTTCCTCGTTCTCTCACTGTGATAAGGGCCAATGATAACATTAGGGAGTTGCTTTAGATGTCATTTTTAATCACATTCTTTAGTTACCACAGCTAATGTATAGCCATGGCGATACCAGTTTCATTTCAGGGTGGCCCCTTGGCTATGGACGAGAGAAGTCTGACCATTGCTCCCAAGGGCAATATGAAGAATGGGACAAGCTACAAGGAGCACATACGACCATACCCACTGGAATATACGGGATCCCGTCCGCTCTCCCCTAGTCAAACCAGTGAAGGGCCGGATTAAAACTCATGGTGAAAGTGGGATTCGGACTTCTCGACCTCTGGCCAATAGCCGCCCGCCATTAGCGCCCCACCTCCCGCTCCCTCCCACCTGCCCGGTGAAGCCAGCCCACACCACCTTCTTCCTTCCTCACTCAAACGCACTATCATTATCCCAATGGAGCACCTTTTGAAATATGTCCCTTCTCGCGCCGCCGTGTTAACCGTATCCCCCGTCGTGAATCAGAGATTCTTTGAGCGAAATCCAGGCCTTACGGAACAGATCTGCCTCGAACAGGCCGCGCAAATCCTTGGCTGCCCCGCCAGCAGCATCCGTCCCGTAGCCATCCAGGGCGCGGAAAGCTTTACTGTAACCAAAACCGACGCCCGCCCCGGCGATTCGGGTATCGTCCAGTTCCGCGACCTTTCGTCCCCGCTAAACATAGACACCCTCGCCCTAGCCCGAAGGACCTACGGGGACATGATTCCCGCTTGCAATGCGATTACGTGCGGGCTCAGTGACAAAGCGCACGTCTACCTCATGACGCTGGCCGGCGGCATTGCCTTCTGCGCGGCCAAACAGGACTTTTATCAGGACCACGACGCCGAGCGGCTAACAGCCACCGTCGTGGACTTTGCCTCGTCCGTGCCCTCCTTTTTGCCCCGAATCACGAATTTTTGGTTGTTTAATTTAATATACAAACCCCGTTACAGCTTCGTTGCGTCCTCGCTGTCGACGGCGCGGCAGAACGCCGACGACGCCGCGCTCGCGCAGGCGTACGAAAAGCTCGCCCCGTGGGAGGCCTCCCTCCCCGCGCGGTTTCAGCCCAGGCTGGCCGAAGTGCGGGCGCGGCTGCCCGCCATCTTCGGGGGAGAGTTCCCGCAGGTGCTGAACCACGCGGACCTGGTGGAAATGAACATCCAAGCCGACGGCTTGTCGGGCGGCATTGCCGGCGTTATCGACTGGGAAGGGGCCGCTTACGGCCCCTTCGGCGTCGCGCTGGCCTCCCTCGAAACCTTGCTCGGCGTTTGCACCGGTGAGGGCGTGTGGATCTGGCACCCCGGGCAGGAACGTCTCCGCGCCTTTTTCTACGAAACCCTCACCGCGGAGCTTGGCCGGCATCCCCAGGCCCGCTACCTGGGCGCGGACGACATCGAGGCGGCAAGGGCGTTTGGGCTCTTTATCATGTACGGGTCTTGGGCTGCGCAGGCTAACGACCACGACAACGGCTCCGAGCTAGGTGCTGCATGCCTCGAGGTGGGTCTAGGGGAGGGGACCGCAGTCCAGCCTTTTCTCCAGCTGCTGCCTAGGGGTGGCCACAGGGGTTAAATTCAATATGGTTGGAACCGGCACGCCGGCCTCCCATACAGGCATGCGGAACATGACAACTTGTTCTCATTGTGACTATCTGAATTTTGCTAAGGTGCTCGATTCGGTCCTGGTCTCGTTGCCGTCGAGCATACATAAAGTGCGCGTTGGCCCGTGTGGTTGCACTGATGCGCCTCGCACCAGAGAAGAAAGACGTTAGGAGCCAGACATTGGCGGCTTGGGAAGAAGTGAAAAATCTTGTAGAAAGACACGCCTTGGAAAGTCCTGCTCGTTACGTCACGTATACAAAAGCCCGTTGCATTCTATCTTCGATCCGGAGCCCTATTCTCCCGGGAGTAGCCCATCAGGCTTCAGGCTTCTTGGGCACGCCCTGCTCGAAGAGGTCATCGATGACCGCCTTGGGCCCCTGGTCAAGCTTGTTGGTGAAGACCTTGTGCGTCTTCCTGTTTTCCATATACTGGTGAACGGTGGTCCCGTCGTTGTCCGAGTTCTCCTCGTTGTAGCCGCGAGCATCCCAGGCCGTCTCGATCGATGGGGCCGACATGGCTAGGTTAGTGCTCAAGTGGGTGTGGAGGGTGGGGCGCCAGGATACGGCCTCTGCACGGTAGGGGGAGCAGCAAGGTACAAAGGCGTCCGTTTCTGGACGCCGAAATCTCCGTTTCTGGACGCCTGGGATTGTGAGGGCCGAACTAGTACTCAGGTGGGTGACCGCTGGGGAATCCTCGGTGTTGTATGTTTTTTGGATTCTTTTGGCTGGGATTAGCCAACGAACGCGTACCTTACCTACCTACCATGCAGCATCAATAGCATTGCTTTTGACACATGTCAATACGGCAGAGACATCACGTGAGGACAGCCAAGGGACCGTTGGTCCTGACTGCACTCCCTCGTAATTGCTTCACGTTGCCTCTCGCTGCTGCTCTGTTCCCTTCCACTTGGTTCTAACCCATCCTCCCCCTACGATGGCTGAACACGAAGCCAACCGGCCATCGATCGATGTTTCGTTGCTCCCAGACGCTTCCCTGACGGAAATCGACTTTCGCGACACATCTTTCTTCCAGTCAAAAGGTACAGAACAGGCTGAATTACCAAGTCCGGAAGAAATCATCCAGCAGTACCCAGATTTGCGCGGCAGAGGAATCGCCAAGTTTGAGCAATTGAATCTCGTTGTCAAAACGGATCATTCGAACTACCTCAGGACCGAAGAGGCCCTGACACTGCGAGCTATCCGACAGGCTTTTCCGTCCAACGAGGTCCCAGTCCCCGAGGTGTTCGGATGGAGGAAGGTTGGGACCCGGGTTTATATTTACATGGGCCTAGTATCTGGGAAGACACTTCGGCAGGCATGGGACTCTTTGACCTCGACGGATAAAGCTTCTATCCGCGATCAGCTGTCCCAAATCATCGCAGCGCTGAGGCGCATCACGCAAGGCTCCCCTGCTAGGTTCATAGGTATGTTCAGTAACCTTGTATCGGCAGCTACTGTCGTATCATTACTAACATTGGGTCCAGGCTCCGTCAACGGCGGCCACGTTCAGGACAGATTCTTCAAACTAGATTATGAAGAGGGCCCCTTTTTCAGTATCAAGTCATTCAACGACTGGATGGGTGCTGCTGCCACCCGGCAGAAGCCGGGACAAGAGGGGTTTCAAAGGGATGTTTATCGAGACTTCGTTGCCGACACGGGGGAGATCTACTTCACCCATGGCGACCTCACCCTCGGGAACATCATCATCTCCGACGGGGATAGCCCTCGGCGGATTGTTGGAATTATTGATTGGGAACAGGCGGGCTGGTATCCCGAGTACTGGGAGTACTGCAAGCTACTTTACGCGGTGGATTATGAACATGGATGGCGCAGTGAGGGATGGGCTGAGCAAGTGATGAAACAGTACGAAGAGGAATGGGAGGCCTTCGGAGAATACAGCCACTGGAGAGGGTGCCCCTAGGGGTCGAGGCGATGCCAGCGCTGCGGACGGGAGTGCACATCTGCGAGTGGACGCTGGTTGAAACGAGCTAATATGGGTGAGCGTTTGCTGTGCAACAGGGACGCACGCGCGTACCTGGTCAACCGCGTACGGAGGGCGGCTTTTTCTCTTGTAACGCCTTTCCCCTTGCGGCGGCCTTTCCCTTTGGCACCTCCCCTGGGGCGCTCAGTCTCGATAGTCAGTCTCAACAGTCAGTCTCGACTGGCGTAGGCCGATACGTCCACCTTGTGCCGCCCGCTATTTTATGTTGAGCACCACCAGGTATCTATTTTACCGATCTCTTCCCACTTTCTAGCCGTACAGGTCCAGGGATCACAAACCCTAGTTCGGTGGATGCAAGATACAACTTCTTCCTTAGGAAACCAAGCCAAACTGATGTATCACCAGGATCCACCGTACTAAAGTTTGTGCCCTGGGACCTGTACGCCCTTCCACAAACACGCCTTGATTTGAAATTCGTTTCCTGCATTTGTTCGTCTTTTATCAATACCTTACAACTTCAAAATGTCCTCCCGTGGAATATACCTCGCTGTCTACCGCCGGTCGACCAGTCAGCGTGCCCATTTTGCCATATTTATCCCAAACGCCTCTCACGATCGCCAGGATGTTGCTCAAACTTTCCGAGCTCAATCTACCTGTCAGGAGCACGGGCGAGACCGCCCGGCAGAAAGCGGGGAGCGTCAGATGCACGGGCGAGACCGCCCGGCAGAAAAGGAGGAAGG